GCGCAAAATTCCAGTTTGCGAGCGCAAATTACTGCACGCAAAATTGGATCTTGATAAATCTGGCCCTAAATGTTATATGTTTGGCTGACGTTGACTGATCCCCTGATCCCCTTTTCCCCTCATATATCCCCTCATATATCCGATGTTTATTCCAAATAGCCATGATGCCTGGCAGAACATTATGGAACCTTATGCAAAATTCCCAATTTAACAGTCATGTGGCCAATGTGTGCTCAAAATGAGCGGTTTCAAAAACATTCCCATTATGATGTCATAAGGGGAAATAAGCCATCCAGAGTGGTCAAGCTACGACCTTTATCTAATGTATTATTCCACGCAACTTTCGCTATGAACTCTGACTGGTTGTCATGGTTGTGGTGCACGAGTTTTGGGAGGGCGGGGCATGGAAAGCCAAACAACTTTTCCAGAAGAGGGCTGAATGAGGATTTTTATTTTTGTAAAGGCCATCTGCCTGACCTAAAAGGAATCGTCCTTATTAAACAGCAAAAAAAAAAAAAAATGCTTTGGGGGCCTCATTGTTAATATTTTTAAGTTTCAAATGTAGCATAACATAGGACTTGGCCTAAGTTGGCATTGTGGAAAACACTGCGAAAAAAAGGATTCTGTGTTCAATCAGCTTAACTAGAGTGCACCAAAACACCCAAACCAGGCAGCATCATGCTGTGCTGAAGCAGATTTGGTCAAAGTTGGACGTTGTGTGAAGCTAAATAGAAACCAACCCTGAAGGAAAACTTTCAAACAACTGAAATGGTTAGAAACTGGGGGAAGGTTCAGCAACACTGAACTTACTGTCATCGCTACAATGCAAACATGTAGCTTAAAGCATATTTATGTACGGTATCTATATGGCCCAGTCAATGGACCAAAATCTAGATAAATCTAGGCAAAAACTGAAAACTGATGTTAACAGAAGCTCCCTGTCCAGCTGAGTGAGCTTGATTGAGTTGCATCACAGTAGAGCATGGGGAAAATGTTAGTGTCTAAAAGGATAATTCAGTGAAATATGCTTCTAGCAAATGTTAAGTTCAAACATAATATAAGCTCTAGCTGGAAGACTTGTGATTCAACGAGGGTGTCTTTTTTTTTTCATCAAAGAGAAAGAGAAAGACTAGATAAAATTACAAGTAAGAGGCTTTTAAGTTTCATGAGAAATGAGATGGAGCCTGTCATGGCTGCTTCTTGTAATGTCAGCTTTTAGCTATTATAGTAAATAATTCCTTTTCCTCCAACCCATTACCATACATTAGACATGCCTTTTCAAGCCTGGTGCAAATCTAAGGTTGTTGGTTTAAAAAATAGACAGATAATCATGTAAAAGCTGGATTTGAATATCCTGGGAATGATCCTTAGGCTCTTCTGCCAGTGTCCTATTAAACAAAGCGTCACACCAAAGTGAAACTGCACAAGAGCCTGAAAATCGTTTTATATTGAACAACTGTTTGGTAACACAGTTATTTGTTATGTGCCCCCATTGGCTTTTTCAACACTTCCTGCTGTGTACCAGCATCAACAGGACCAACGCTGTAGAGGACAGGAAAAAAAGCAGGATGTTTGTGGAAGTCAGCTGTATGTTTCAGCTAATGTTATCTTGGTAATCGTGGGAAATGTGTGGCGCAAACTGTGTTAAATCAGCTGCAGGTTTAGGTTTATGTCTAGGTGTGAAAGTGTGAAATATTACAGTGATGCTGTCTGATTTATGCAGAAATTAACACCCCATGTATGTGTTGAACCAAACAGTGAGAATGAGTGTTTCTGAGGCTACAGAAAATGATAATGTCCCTGTGTTAGGTTCTGAATATGCAGGATGTTTTAAGCTAAATCAATCCTTTTTCCCTTTCAGGGTTTGGATTTAAGACCTGCTGATCTGCAGAAAAAAAAGTTTGCTCCCTGGAAATAGATTTATTTTTTGATCTCTCTCTTTCTCTCTCTCTTTGATGCTGTTTTTCCCATGAAATATTTTAGGGGTTTAGTTCTGGTTTTGTAAAAGCTTTTATGTCTGCAATTGGAAAACCAACAACAGAGTGCAACCAACTAAACTCTTCCTTTTAACCAGGAAAAAAAAAGTAAATATGTTTCTTGAGTGAAAAGAAGACCTGCATCATTTTACTAAAAATAGTTCTCTATTATTTAAAGAGAAGCTGAAACTCCAGTTTTATTTGGATTATTCATTTAAAAAAGAAAAAGTCAATTCTTGGGAAGAATTAAAAAAATCTATCTAAGAAAGAATCATTCCATTTGCATTTACATTGCATTCATCTTTTTAAATCTATTTTGTAAACCAAGCTAAAACAAAAATCACAGGTAGAATAGAAACAAAAATAGAAAACCCCTTTCTTGTCTTACAAGAAAGGGGTCTTAATTTTAAACATCAATGTAAGACTTTATTATGTATCATTTAAGCTAAAAAATATTCTATTTCTAGTAGGTTTCACAATGTGAGATAATCTTGCATTGTCAACACCATGATTAAATATTGGTATGATGGTGTCATACCAATATTTCTATTCTCTCTTTTTCATCTTTGTTTGTGAGTCTTTTGAAATGTATCATTTCTGTCCGGTGTTAGCATTTCTGCCATGAGATGTTCAACTTACCAAATATTACATTACCATGAAAAATTCAAGTTCATAAGATTAGGGATACTTTAGCAAACAGTTACTGCTCTTCAATCAGCTCTCTGTGATAAATAGTCTGATGATATATTTGACATGTATTTTGTGGTCCTAATATATTGAATAATTAGTTTGCTAAATCAGTTTTTTCGGGTTTTTTTAATACAAACAAACCAGCAAAATAAAATACTGCATTAAAATCACTCTAATGAAATTTAAACTGAGTTTTCAAAATGATAACTGGTTCTTCCAAGCTGGAAGCAAATATTTCTGTCTTTGATCACCACCTGATGCAAACATATATTAATTAAAAATATATATCAATGCTGTTTTATTTTGGAACAAGACTATATTATCACACCAGGAAAGGTCTACTCCAGGTAATGAAATGCATCCAAGAAATATTCTATAACACCTTCATATTTACCGTATCTGACTTAAAAAGGTAGCTGCAGCCAATATAGTACCTTTTTTATTATGAATGTTATGTCAGTGTGTGAGAACAGTGTGTTGGGGGGAAATATGTATTTGTCAGTCCAACAAAGTGCAAATAAAGTCCTGAATTTTAAAAACAAGCCACAAAAAACACAACTATACAGGTTGCAGACTACATCTGTAGAGCTGACATAAAATCCCAAACACTACATCAACAACAGTAACTGGGAGTTGACTTAAGCCAGGAACTCTTACTCTAATAGTTGGAAAAGGCCTTCATTTGGATGCCTATCCGATACTTGGAACTGTGTTTAACACTTAAGATCACATCTGTGTGTGCAGCCAACTTGCCTGGCCTAAAAGCGGCTTTAATGCACAAAAATTTGGATGCCATATTAGCAGATCAAGTGGCTTCTTACCCCTGTTTTTGGATAGGTTGTCCAGCCCAGCTCTGAGGTAGTTTCTGTTGTGTCCAGCAGCATCACTGGGAGGTAGAAAAAGCAGAGACAAAGAGAAAAGATGTAAGAAAACTCACAGTTGACATCTAAAGCTTTTGGTTTAAAATAATTGCTTAAAGCTTGATAGTTTCACGGAGGAACAGCTGGGGCACTGAAATAGGATAAGAAACTGAGAAACAGAATCAATAATTAACGGTTTTAGAATAACCGCGGGATTCTGTGTGATGTTTTCCATCAAGATCTAAAACTCAGATTCGGTTCATTAAGTATTCTTTTCAAGCATCTGTTTAGAATAAGACTTTTTAAATATCGATAAAGTCAGAAGTCACTGCACAGCTTGTGTAACTGCAACAGACTTTGTCCACGTTTCTTCTTGATTTCTCTCCTTCTCTGTGGAGTGAAATCAGGGCAATCTCCAGCTGCGTGCATCTGTCAAACCCCATAACTAAATCTGAGTGATGATGCATCTTGGCACCGAATTCTGGGGTTTAGGAAATTAAACTGATTGACCTGAGGGGGCAACGTGCTTTCAGGTCAAATTCCCCAGATTAAACATGCAGCGCCTCTAACTGATACATGTTTATAGAAGCAAACAGTTTTTGGGAGAACCCTTTCTTTTGACTTTACTAGATCAGAAAGCTCAGTATTCGAAGTTTTCTACATTCCTTAATGGATATTTCCATATTTTCTCCGATCTGCAGAGAGAGCAATGAGAATAAGCCTATACCTTTGTGCCATTGCATATTTTCCCATAAATCTGCTTTTTCGGGGTTTAAGAGCTTTAAAAAAGCAAACTGGCAAATAAATTACACAGACTCTCTCACATACACTCACTGACTAGCTCATTCTCAAAGAGTGACTTTAATGTTGAGCGCCGCATGCTGACACATGGCAGCTTCCCACACAGAACCAAAGCCCTTGAATTTTCCATTAGTATTCTGAAGCTGTGGTGGTTGCTCTTCATTCAGTTTGGCACAGCCTTCACTGGGGACTGAATGCACGCCAAAGTTTGTTTCGACATAGAGGTGGTGAACGCATCAGACTTCAGTTCTGCAAGCCTGTGCATATGGAGGTAATGGAGGAAAAAAACAGAGAGGGCACTAATCACCTAAAGGGCTCCAGACACATAATAACCAACGAGGCACTGTGGGAGAGAGCAGCCATCGTTCTCTCTTTTCAAATAAATAACTCTATTCATTTTTATCATTTATTTTCCATTTCGTGTCACTAAATTGCTTACTAGCAATTTAAAGGCTCTCTTCTCTCTCTGTCAGTTGAACAAAGATAGGATAATGCTACCTTCTGAATGCATGCTGGGATTTAAAAAGTATGCCAACCAGTCAAAACAACAGTGACCCACAGAGATCGAGACATAGAGATTTTTGTGTCCCGGAAATGCTGGAGATGTGCTCTGAAATCTGCTGCCTGTCTTAATAAATCAAAGAACAGGATATCTCTTGTTGCTACTGACGCATATTGCTGTTCTCCACCTATATAAACCACTTTGATTTTTCAGGATTAGACACACAGATGGAGAACCCACAAGTCGCCCCTGCAAGCCTTTTTTTCAGTGGGTATGTCTGATTTCACCCACTAGCTTTTCTTTATGTCGATCTCATTAAAGTCACAGATTTTCCATGGATGTCGGCCAGATTCTGAGGTGATACAAGCTGAATCAGCTGCAGGAGGACAAATGGACTGTGACGGCTTTTAGGTTTGTGCAGCACAGATTGTTTCACCAAACCAAATAGTTGAGTTGGGATGAAGAAGCAAGCGCTACAGTAAACAAGGATTTTACAAGAGAAAAATCCTTTATCTTCTTGTTTGAGGACAGAAGTTATGTGTGGTTACATGCAAGCCCCACTAATCTTTAAAAGGGACAAACACATTGTACACTGTGTAGTTTAAGTTGTACACTAACATAACTGTCTTTTAGGGAAGAATGGGAAAAAGAAAATCATCTTTTTCCCATTTTTCCCTCAGTGCAGCATTCAACACTGTTGATCACTCCATCCTGTTAGTGCGCCTGGGTCAGCCTCTCTAGTACAGCTCTAAATTGGTTTAAATCCTACTTAAAGGACAGGGACCTTTTTGTATCAGTAGGCAAATTTACATCAGAGATGACAAAAATGTGGGGTTCCCCAAGGGTCCTTTTCCATCCTGGGTCCCCTCCTATTCACTATCTACATGCTCCCTCTTGCTCAGTTAATAAAAAACAACAACATCAGCTACCATAACTATGCAGACGACACACAGCTTTACATCACCATGTCACCAGGTGATTATGAACCAATTCAAGCACTGAGGAAATGCTTAGAAGAAATCAATGCCTGGATGTGCCTTTATTTTCTTCAACTGAATAAAAACATAAATGAAGAAATAATCTTTGGACCAATAGAGGAGAGATCTAAAGTTAGCACACAGCTTCAGTCGCTTCAGCTAGTAACCACTGATCAGGCCCGAAATCTAGGTGTAGTACTGGATTCAGACTTGAAGCTCCAAAAGCATTTAAAGACAATTACAAGGTCGGCTTTCTATCACCTGAAGAACATTTCCAGGATTAAAGGACTAATGTCTCAGCATGATCTGGAAAAACTAATCCATGCGTTTATTTTTAGTTGGATTGATTACTGCAATGGTATTTTCACAGGTCTGCCTAAAAAGTGGATCAGACAGCTGCAGCTGATCCAGAACGCTGCTGCCCGTGTCCTCACTAAGACTAAGAAAGTAGAGCACATCACCCCAGTTCTAAAGTGCTTACACTGGCTCCCTGTATCTTAGAGAATAGACTTTAAAATACTTCTGTTAGTCTATAAATCTCTGAATGGCTTAGCACCTAAATACATCACAGACTTGCTATCAGTGTATCAACCCTCCAGACCACTCAGGTCTTCTGGCTCCAGCCTGCTCTGCATACCTAGAACCAGAACTAAACATGGAGAAGCAGCATTTAGTTCCTATGCTCCACTTATCTGGAACAAACTTCCAGAAAACTGTAAAAGTGCAGAAAGCCTGAGTTCCTTTAAATCAAGACTAAAAACACATTTGTTTAAGATTGCCTTTGACTGTTCTAGTTAAACAGTTCAACTAAAACATCATTAGTTCAACTTTTTTATTTTCTTTAGTCCAACTGTTTTTAATGTCCTTTTTTGTTTCTGCACTTTTTTCCTACTTGCTTTGATTCTGTTTTATTTTCCTATATTTTAATCATGTAAAGCACTTTGCATTGTCTTTGTACTGAATTGTGCTATACAAATACATTTGCCTTGCCTTGCCTTGCCATCTGGGAAAGAAACCCGTAGGTCATAAAAGTTAGAATTGTTTTTACAAGAGGAACATATAAGATAGGACCTGTTCAGATAAGACCATCACAGCTTCTTGGGCTCCAAGAAAAAAACTAAATGTGGAAGAAAATTGAAACACAGAGATATTGTGATGCATTGTTGCTATAGGAAGTCTTTTCTTCAGAGGGACAGGGGGACCTGGATTAAATGAATGCTAAAATGGGTGGAACTGAACAAAAGGGGAACATGAAAAAAAAGATGATAGAGTCTGCAAAAAATTTGAGATTTGGACTGAGATTGTCATTCTAGTAGGTCAACAGACCTAAACATAGACAGAACTACAATGGTATGGATTAAATCAAAGCATTCTCATGTAGTCTAGTCAAAGTTCAGATTCAATGTATTTAATACTTGGTAATAAAAATTGAAAAACAATGTTCACATGAAGTTCCCATCCAGCCCAACTAAGTTAGAACTACTTTGCTAAATAAAATGGACTGTAGATGTGCAGCTAGAAAAACACTCCTATATGCTGTACTAAAGTGGCATCATAAAACATGAAAAAACAATAAAATGACTTCGACAAACTTTGTCATTTCAATGCATACAGCTTGTCAACGGTGAATGAGCTGCTTACAGCAGTGAAATGAACATTTCCATTTATAAAGTGCAGCAGTGATCAGAATGTAAACAGTATAGGAGAAAAGTGAAACCTGTTGAAAGTCATGGTGCAAAAAGGTATTAATAAGGAAAAAAATCAGAGCAGTGCAAATAAATAAATGTGGTGCTAATTGCAGTAGAATATTGAGTTGTGTTCCATTTAAAAGGATATGAAAAAAAATCAGCCATGTAATGCAAATCTGATGTGTGACGCAAAAGTGTGTTAGTAAGAATAATTATCATTGATGAGTTGTGAGTTTATTGCACCTTAATATTAGCTGCCTTTTGGTGTCAGAAGTAATCTTTTCCCAGTAGTTTATCTAATTAGGCCAGTTCATCGGTCCGGCTATATACAGTTATAATCTTCATTCTGTACGTGGCAAAGATTTGGGAATGGAATGAGAGCGGTTTCCTTTAGCTAAGAACAAAGTGGAATATTTTGATAAGGCTGGAGTCATGGATGTCTCCTCATCTGCAAACGTGTATGATGTAACGATGTGTTGATGTGGCATACAGAAGTATAAAATGTTTATCTGCCTGCCTATCAGGGCCACTTCCCTAGAACTGAGCCTGGTTGGTAAGCAGCTGCATTCTGTAACCCTAAGCAACTTTTCTAAACTGAGTAAGATTACAATTTATATCAAAATCTGCTGTCAAGTGTCTCATGGTTATTGAATACATATAAGTAATGAAGTGTTGCTCAAAGAGTTTGTCCAAAGTGATCTATTTTCAGGAAAATTAATGGAAGAGGGAAAGCTTCAAGGTGTAGACACAGAGCCTACCTTTAACAAGTTTCAGCAGTTCAACAGTCTGATGGCAGCAGGGGAAAAGCTGTTGCAGAACCTGCTGATCTTGCAGCAAATGCTGCAAAGCCTCAGAGGGCAGCAGGAAGAACAGTCCATGGTGGGGATGTCAGGCGTTACTGATGATGTTAACAGCTTTCCAGACTGTTCATATTTTTAGGCAGAAATTTGAAAAACTATTTATTGTTTTAAGTTAAATAGAGCATAAAATAAATCTGAAATGCATTTTAGATTTTTTATTTGTGGAACGTTTGTGAAAACATAAATACAGTTTTTGTC